TTATTTTATTTATCTTAGTTTTATTTCAGAATTATTGTCAATTTCAGTTTTAGTTTACAATAACAGCAATTTTGCTTCTCAGGTGAATTTTATCCTGTTTTAAGGATGTTTAGATATTGTTTTCCATAAATCTAGACACACTGACAGACTATATAATTTTATTTTATCTTAGTTTTATTTCAGAATTATTGTCAATTTCAGTTTTAGTTTACAATAACAGCAATTTTGCTTCTCAGGTGAATTTTATCCTGTTTTAAGGATGTTTAGATATTGTTTTCCATAAATCTAGACAAAAACACTGACAGAAATGAGTTTTTTTGCATTGTATTCACTGCATTTTTACATGGATTAATTTTGTCCAGCTGTACTCCACAAGGACTCTGAACGTCTGGATATTATTCAGATAAATTAGTCGAGAATCTGAGATCCAAGTCCCCTGACTGAATAGTGCTTTCTGTTTCTGATAAGGAGAGCAGTGAGGAAGTAATATTGGAGGTCCAGGTGGATAACAGTGATTGATGATCCACAAAGTCTCTCCGCATTGACTGCTTTGAATTGGCTTTGAGATTGTAATCAAAACTCAAATGAATAGTCCGTCACCTGTCTTCCTCCCAACATGGAAAGATTCTGGTTCTCTAATGGCAGTACTAATGAAAAAGACTGTGTGACCCTGACAGCTGAGAGAAGAGTCTTTGCATAATGCCATGATGGATTGTTTCATGGCAGATGTGGTTTGTGCTCATATGCTGGTGTAAACCGTCTGTTCTTTGTTGTTCAATTACCCAGGTGACACTGCTTTCATTCTTGGTGGAAGCCGAACACACGTTCCTGGACTACATCAAAGCAGGGTACGGACGAAAATACACACAATCACCCTCATGTAAGCGTATGTACTGTATTTAGACTTTTCTAAATGCTTCTTAAATTGCCGCATCACAACATGTAATTTTTGTAAACATTCTCAGAGGATGTACAGGTCAGAATCTTGCTGAAGCCATCAGGATGTTATCACAGTAATGGCGTCAACAGCTTTGGAAAAGAGCTCCGGTAAACAAGACCCGAATAGCCACTTAAATGTTAAACTAGAACAACAAACACGGCTATTGTAGTAGTTACTGTAATCAGCATTCAGGGGTTGCCAGGTCCTCTTCAGTTTGCACTGATGAAAGGCTGGCCTTGTGCACTGATGCCAGTATTGTGGAAAACTTCACAGAGTCTTCGACCATATACTGTGGTCTGATCCATTGATATCTCTGGCATTAGGAAATATGACCTCCTGCCCCTCTGTGTCTGTTATCTCTGGCATAAAGGCTGCGTCCTAAACCTGAAAAATGCTGCTCTGACAGGCAGTATTTGGAGGAAGGAAGGCAAGTCCGAATCCAAGGTTTGAATAAAATCCTGCCTATTAAGATGCCTCCATCTGATCGATTTTTAAAACTAGTGATGTACAAAAAACTGTGGTTAAAAGAAGCAAATATGTATTAATAAATGTCCTTGAATATTAAAATAAATAATATTAATTACACCATGTTGAAACGTTTGTAAGATTAAAAAAAAAGAGATTAATACTTTTATTCAGCAATAATGCACTAAATTGTTAAAAAATAACAGTGAAGACTTTTAGATTGTTACAAAAAAATCTATTTAAAATAAATGCTGTCATTGGAATGATTTATGAAAGATCATGTGACACTGAAAACTGGCTGCTGAAAATTTAGCCTTACTATCACAGGAATAAATGACATTTTAAAAGATATCAAAATAGAAAACAGCTGTTTTAAGTTGTAATTTATCCTGCACAAATCAGTACTTTTTGTCTTGTTTTCCAGTACAAACATTTACACATGCTAAATTTACCTTAAATGTAACTGCATAAGATAATAAGATTTATTAATTATATTTATTAATATATATATATATTAATATATATGTATTAATCTATTTTAAATTAAGTTTACATTTCTTATGACACTGTCAAATGCTTTATCTTGCTTGAAGAAAACTGAACTAAATTTTGTGAGGGTTATGCCTAAAACAAGAAAAAAAAATATTTGGAAAACATAAATAATAAAAATAATTCAAGAGATGTTCTCTGAAAGCATGTTTTCCTTTTTCAGAAAAATACTTTTCTCTCTTTAACAACAGTGCTATTTTAGTATTACTTCTATACTATTATAGTATTTTTTACTAATATTTTAAATTAGCTTTTATATTTATATTTTCATTTTTAATCTTTATTTTAGTAATTATATGTTTTTGTCATTCGTATTAATTTTTATATTTCTATTTAGCTCTAATTTTTAAATTTTATTTTTAGTAATTTTAATAAATCATTTTGTTTCTGTTAGTTGCCAGTGCAGCTGTTTTAAGTTGTAATTTTTTCACAGTATTACTGTTTTTACTGCATTTTTGATCAAATAAATGCAGCCTTGTGACAATAAGAGAGACTTCTTACTGACCCAAACCTTTGAATGCTAGTGTGAATGTCTATTTATATTAAATTAAATAATATTAAATAATATAATTATTTATATAATTATATAATAATAATAACAATAATAATAATATATTTTTACAGAGAAGCAAACATTGTAATTATTAAATATTTACCTGGTTGTTTCTAAAGCTTTCTTAAATTCGTTGTAGATCATTAGATGTTATTGTTCCTTGGACGTATCTTCATTCATTATATCTTCATACTATCTATTAGGCAGTATTTGTTTAAAGAAAGAAAACAGCAACACTTTAGATTAGGGAATGCATATTTGTGATTAGTTAAGAGTTTTCCCTTAATAAATTCCTAATTACTGCTTATTAATACTTATTAATAGTAAGTAAGGTAGTTATTGTTGTAGTTGTGTTTAGGTGTATTAGGTGAGGTTAAGGGCTCATGAATATGGTTATGCAGAATAAGGCATTAATATGTGTTCTGTAAGTACCAATAAACAGCCAATATGCTAGTAATATGCATGCTAGTTTGCAACTAGTTAATAGTGAATAGTGTTCCCTAATCTAAAGGGTTACCAAGAAAACTGTGGTTTGCAACCTGTCTTTTGTGTTGAGTGAGTAATGATGGGCTCTCTTTTTGGTTCTCTGTTGGTTCAAGGATAAGGTTCAATAATCAACTTAAAATCAGACTCATCTGCTTTATCAGCTATAATGTGTGACTACAACAGCAGGTAATTAATCTGATAACCTTGCTTAATGTTTTGAATGTTCAGCTCTCTCAACCCTTATCCAATATTGATAAGTTCCTGCCATAGTTCCTGTCCCACGCCTAAAGATACTAGTGTGTCCCATCCTGCTGGAGATTGATATCACCCAGTATCTCTCACTTTGTCAGTCAGGCTGTGCTGTTTAAGAGATTGAGTGAGGGAACGACAAAGACTCCAGCTCTAGACTTGACTCTGGTGTTGTGGTCTGGGTGGCTAGTACAATTATTGTTTTACAGTTTTTGTATTAGGATTTTTTTAAATACAGTTTTTGTATCTTACTCCAGTCTTCAGTGTCACATGATCCTCCAGAAGTCATTCTAATATGCTTATTTGCTGCTCAAGAAACATGTTGTGCTGCTTAATGTTTTTGTGAAAACTGTGATACATTTTTTCAGGATTTTTTGATGAATAGAAATGACAAAATAACGGCAGAAGAAATCTTTTGTAACATTATAAATGTCTTGTCACTTGTGATCAAGTTAATGCATCCCTGCTGAATAATAATTTCTTTCAGAAATGAAAATTGTGAATAGTACTGTGTTACGGCCCGTGGCTCAAAAAGGATGCAGCAAAAACAGGGACACACGAGAAAGCCAAAAGTAGAATGCAAAATTTATTAACAAAATCAAACTATAACAAAAAGAAGAACAATGTAGAATGTAACAGTCAGGAATCAGTGGTGTCAAGTTAAAGGGGTCATATGATGCTGCTCCAAAGAGAAAGGAAAAAATGAAATCGCATCATATGACCCCTTTAAATGAATGCATGGAGCTGTAATGTAGTGTAGCAATGTTGGATGTACAAAAGAAACAAACTTAAAGGAAATCAAACAAAATCAAGTCCAATGTGCAGCTCTCTTGTAGCCAGTCATCTTGCTTCTTTTAAAAAGCCCAAACGGAAGTCAACAACAGGTGTCCTCAGAAAACAATCCAACTCGGCCGAAGAAAAACCTCACATAAGACATAGGTCGTCACATACTGTATCTTAAGGGTGTTTACTGTTTAGATATATTTACCAGAAAACAAGAAAAAATTTGTCATTAAAATTATATATATTTGTACAGTCAAAGTGATATTTTTCCTTGTCTCTACACTCTCAGACAAAGGTACAAAAGTTGTCTTTTCAAAATGTATCATTTAGGTACTAATATGTACGCTTTAGGGGTAAATAAGGTACAAGGGTGTACCTTATTCAAAGGTACCACTCCAGTGACAGCTTTTGTACCTTTTTTCCAAGAGTGTAGGGTTTAAAATAAATGTGGCAAAAGCCTAAAAATAAAAAAACAGAGAGGCAGAGTAATAAAGAAAGCGAGAGTGTAAACAGTCTATTATCTGTGACTATCCAAAGACATGGTTGACCTTTCACACCGGAGTAATCTATATCGCTCTGACATCACCATGTGCCACGTTCAGTTCACACCGAGTCAGATCAGTCTGTCCACACTCAAACTGCTTTCTGTCAGGTTTTCACCTTTGTTATTTTTCTCCATCAGACTCTGACCTTTAATATTGACGCTGAAAGCAGACCTTTGTATGGATTTCCCATTGCTACACGTTTCACTTTCCTCTTTCCTCTTTATAAACAGGACTATATATAACCCTCTTCGTTCTTAAATCATCATATCCTGGTTCAGAGAGAGATGGATTCTCTTTTTACTGCTGCGAATGAGTGAAAGAATCATATCTTAAGAGAGAAGTGTTAATTATAGTGCAGGTCATAAAGGTAGCTCTCAGAGTTAATGTAAAATTTAAAACCTTTTCTGAGGACCTTATTAAAAGTTTAATCATGTTTTTGGAAAAAAAAAACGGACTGCAGGAAGAATTTCAGTCTAGTTATTCACATTTACATTGGTGGAAATATATTTCTTCAACAGAAAACAAAGACTCTTTAGACAATAGACACACAATGAAACAACTGTTGACAAAGTTGAAATAATACAGATTTCAGTTTAGAGTAGTATAGCTTAGATAATTTAGTCTTGGTAGAATTTGTTGAGAAATAATTGTGTTTATACTGAAATCTTTGACTTCTGAGCAGTTTTTAAGTTAAACTGAGCACAGTTTGTGATTTTGTTGAGATCTCCTCTGAAACCCTAAAGGAGACACACAAGATTATGTGGACTTTTTCTTAGGAGTAAAACCTGAGAAACGGTCTCCATTGATCTCCATTATTTTTGATCTATTTCATTGCCTTCTAGGTGAAATCGTTAAGATTAGATTTGGGATTAATTTCCAATGGGAGATACAATAGAAAGAAACATACGTACCTTTTCATGGAAATGTGATGCTTTTGTTCTTTCTTATTGTCTGCAACTAATCTTAGTGAAGCACTTTTTTTTATAGGTGATTAGATCTTTAGAGGTCTCTTGAACTCTTCAGATTGCACTTCATCCTGGGTCAGAACGAGACATTGTGTAAAATGTCATTGAAGAATTCATAAGGGGAATCTAGCCTTAGAAAGACACAAGACATTCATAACCATACAGCAAGGAAATACAAAACTACTGCATTGCAGAAATGTGTCTGTTCCTGAATCAAGTTGTACATTAGTACATTTACGAGATATATATATATAAAATGTCAGTGTTTTTTGCATTCATTGGATCAAAAGTGTTAATTTGTCATGAATGTAAAACACATCTGTCTGCACTGTTGCTAATGTGACAGTCACAATCCCATCATTCTATATCATTCTATTCTAGCTGTTTTTTCACTCCTATAGATGACATTCAGAATTCCACCATTAAGATAAATGTTCTTCATATAAAAGCGCCGGTCCAAAAGCTCTCTAAGGTTTCTTGTCTCCACCAAAGTAGATGTTAAGGAAAAAAAAAAAAAATCAAGATGGACAGAAAAAAGGAATGAAGATACAGGAGCATAAACAGAGCTTGTTAATCACAATTGTGCTGCTCCCCCTGCCTTCCTGTTTATGTTGTGCAGAGTTAAATAATAAAAAAATGGCTGGTAAAATGGATTCAGTTTTTTGGTCCATACCCAAGGTCTTTGCATAAACACAATACCCTTGTGTTGCATATGAATATGATTTGGCCTGAATCCCTCATTGGTGGTCATGTTTGCGGATGTACAGTGGATGTTTAAAATACATAATTACTCTCTGCTGACCCATCACTGATGAATCAGCTCTTAGGAAAACATCTCGCCGCAGGGGTTGCATATGAATGACAGCTGTAGCCGCCTGCTGATTAGAGCCTGCTTTGAAATGGTTTTCCCCCATTTCGTTTTTGTGTTTTACCCACTTGCATCAGAGGATGATTTCTTTGTCTGTGTGGAAATGTTTTATAAATATTCACTGACCTCATACTCCATGTTTTCCGACATTCTTGTCCAGAGCTCATTTCTCATTTGCACTGAGAGCACAGCAGAGTTCACACTGAAAAGGGAATGCCATTGAGATTCAGATATTAGATGTCGTTATGATATTTTTCAGTGCTTCAGATGTTATCTGTACAAGTGTTCTGTACTCCCCTCAGCAGCAGAAAAAGTTGTTTGTTCTCGTATAATCTGTTCCATTGTGCAGGTGTTCAGATTAGCCATTTGTTTTCTGTGGGCTCAGTGCTTTCTGTTAATTTAAATGGAGATAAACAATAGCAAACTAAACTCTTGTAAAACTTAAAAAAATGTTTTTTGGCCATTTAAAAATGCCCATATTAGAATCTGTAACTGATTTTGGTATATTTTAATTTAAGTTTATTTGTATAGCACTTTTCATTCATTTATTTTTTTATTTTTTATGCTATCTGAGATGTGTTAGTGGAAAACTGACTGAAAAGTTCAGGGAGAAAAGGACTGGGACTTTAAAACCAACCAAAGTTTAACTTGAACCAGGAATAAACTGAAAATTTTAAAGTGAAAATTAAATTTCATAAAAATATTTCATTTAAAAATTTCATCCAATTTTTTTACATGTTTTGTAACTAATAAGGTATTAAATTGCAAATGCAATTTTTACTAGTAGCTTTTCGACCCCACTGTATGTGTATATATATATATATATATATATATATGTATATATACACTGATGTACATTATGAAATATCTTCTTTTGATTGCTTGAATGAAATTGTCATTCACAGGACTGTTATTTAAAAGACTCTGATGCTCTGATGCCCATTGAACTCTTGCTATCAGAATCAGTGGGTAATCACTGGCTCCATACTGTGTCCGGTGAATGTACTGTCCTCCAGCCAGTCTCTCTGCACGATAAGCATCAGTAATCCAGCACTAAGCTGGAGTTCCCACTGATTTCAGTATAAAAACAGAGTTGTGAGCAAATCTGTGATGTTTGGTGATTTTGTATTTGGAAATCTTCCTCGACTGCTGTTGTGAGACCAGTTTCACTGTTGCCCTAATTAAAAAAAAAAGTGGAAAAAGAAGTGGGTTTACACAGATGTTGGATCTGCCCACCAGGCAGAGTTGATTGTGAGGAACGTCTGGTTGCTGAGCAGGAGGTTGGCTGTCTGCCTGTCAGGTGAGAGAGACGACACAATGCAGGGCTGGAGATGGTAATTACACCAACCTCTCGAACAGCGGGAGTGGAAACATTGGAGTGTTTTGAAGCTGGAAATGCGATCTGTGCCACAGTTTGGGGTGAATCAGGATCCATCACCTTTGTTGAGAGCCTCACTGTCAGGTTCTCACATCTGTAATGTGTGAAAAATTTGGCTTAAATTTAAATGCTTTCATTCTTACTTTCTCTCTTTGTCTCTCTCTAGCACTCAGATCCATTTCACAGTGGCCATTGATTTCACTGCGTCCAATGGTAAGGTTTTTAAAAAAAAATTTTTTTAATTGTGTTTCCTGTTTTGGATTTGTTCTCTGTGTTGTTGACCAACAGGTCTGAATAAGATTTTAACCTTGATTTATGATCTGTCTCTCTCTTTAAACCCTAGGGAATCCTTCTCAGTCTACCTCGCTGCATTACATGAACCCCTATCAGATGAATGCGTACGCCATGGCGTTGAAGGCCGTGGGCGAGATCATTCAGGACTATGACAGCGATAAGATGTTTCCTGCATTGGGCTTTGGAGCCAAACTTCCTCCAGATGGCCGGGTTTCCCATGAATTTCCCCTGGTACCTGTTCCTAGATATGATAGATTATGTGGATTTCACAGCTAGCTGTCGCATATCCAGAGTCATTTCTGTTCGAATCCTAAAATGCATGCCGTGTTTTTCAGACACTCTGAATATCATTACTTTATCCTGTTTGTGAAATTTAATTTGTGAGGGTATGTATGGTTGTTTTGAAGTATTTGTTTAGTTGTTTGCTCATAGGTTGATGATATCGTAATTAGAAATGCTTGGTTACATCTATGTGTAATGTGTAAATAAGGCTCTCCAGACACTCTTGCTCATTAACGTTACCCAAGCATTCATGATGACTGTGTGTCAAACCGTCATCTCGTTGAGCATTTTGAGTCTCTTAATTAGTTTTTGCCCGCTTTTTTCCTCCATCAGCTACTCCTCCTTCCACCTCTTTTTCCTTGTGCTAGAACTTAGGATCATGACTATTCATTCTTGCTGCTTCACTCTTCAAATATCACTGTCCTTAGAGCATGAATAATTATCTAATGATGAATCATAAAATACTGAACAGATTCTCAGATCCCTAAGGGCGACACGCTAGAGAAAGTTTTGACAGTATATTTGACGAATATGAATGTGCAAAATGGAATTTTAGTATGCAGAAAGAACCATGAAAGAACCAGTTTTTGGTTGAAAAAATCATGTCCTTGAAATGCCATTGAAATCCACTCCATTAAAAACCATCACCATTGAAATCAACTGATTTGCAGTTGAATTCACTGAGGCGGCGCAAATTCTAGTGTGTAGACACCCTAAAGAACATCAAATACTCTATACTCTAAAGTTTTATATTCAAATGAATAATGACATATATCTTGTAAAATGTAAAGTGTTATGATAAATCTCAGAATCAGAAAGAGCTTTATTTCCATATTTGTGGAACACATACAAGGAATTTGTTTTGGTGACAGAAGCTTCCTCAGCTCAAACAGAATGACAGTGACAAGACAAGACACAGATAATAAAAATAGTTAATAGATAAGTAAATAGGAAATAAAAATATACCAAAAATATTTACCTTGTATTTCATCAGAGTATAACTGTATCAGCAGCTCCTGTGGCAGGCTGAACTTCTCAGCTGGCGAAGGAAGTACAGCCTCTGCTGGGTCTTCTTGACAAAGGAGTCTATTGGCGCTTTTCCACTGCGTGGTACGACTCGGCTCGGCACGGCTCAGTACGGCACGGCAGGGCTCGGATCAGCTCGGCTCGGTTTGCGTTTCCACTGCAGTTTAGTATCGCTTTAGAGTGGGTGGGATTATTCACATGTCGTTAGTTGCGCCGCCTATACTGCCACGACTCCTGAAAAACATTTTCATTCCGCGTCGCCCCATCAATCTCTCTGGATCCGCTCCTCTGCTATCAACGAGTGGAACGTCTGTACTTACTCAACAGACAACGAAACAGCCACTTTTTGGTTGTTAAAAACCCCCCAAAAGTGAACCGTACCGAGCCGTACCGTGCCGTAACGTGCAGTGGAAAAGCGCCATATGTGGAACTCCCACTTCAGGTCCTGAGAGATGGTGGTGCCCATGAACTTGAATGGCTCCACTGTTGTTACAGTGCTGTTCATGATGGTGAGTGGGGGGAGTGCAGGGGGGTTTCTCCTGAAGTCCACTATTATCTCCACTGTTTTGAGCGTGTTCAGCTCCAGGTTGTTATAACTGCACCAGACAGCCAGCTCTTAAACCTCCTTTCTGTAAGCAGACTCGTCTCCGTCCTGGATGAGGCCGATAAGGGTGGTGTCATCTGCAAACTTCCGGAGCTTGACAGAGGGGTCTTTAGAGGTGCAGTCGTTGGTGTACAGGGAGAAGAGCAGTGGGGAGAGAACACATCCCTGGGGGGCACCAGTGCTGGATGAGAATTTTCCCAGCCTTACTAGCTGCTGCCTGTCTGTCAAGAAGCTGGTGATCCACTGACAGATGGAGGTGGGCACAGAGAGCTGAGTTAATTTGGACATGAGGAGGTTTGGGATGATAGTGTTGAAGGCTGAGCTGAAGTCCACAGACAGGATCCTCACATCCTCACAGGACCCTGCACAGCTCCAGTGATCTTTTGAAGATATGTGTGAAGATGGGGGCCAGCTGGTCAGCACAGGCCCAGGTCTGGGCCTGGTGCTTTCTTTCTCTTCTGCTTCCGGAAGACCTGACACACATCTTTTTCACAAACCTGAAGTGCAGGAGGGGGAGAGGGGGCTGCTGGAGGTGTTAATAGGTCCATAAAGAGAAGGTCAGAATGGGTGTGGGGTGTGAGGGTCTTTCAAACCTGCAATAAAACTAATTCAAATCGTCGGCCAGTTGTTGATTCAGCACAGTGCTGGGGGATGGTGTCTTGTAGTTGGTGATGTCTTTTGGTCCTTTCCACACTGATGCAGGGTCACTGTCAGAAAACTGGTTTCTCAGCTTTTCAGATTCAGTTCCTCTTATCCACTCTGTTCTCCAGTGTGTTTTTGGCCTGTTTATACAAGACTCTGTCCCCATTCCTGTAGGCATCTTCTTTGGCCTGACAGAGCTATCTGAATTTTTCAGTGAACCACGGTTTGTCGTTGTTGTAAGTTAAATGAGTCATGGTAGGGATGCATATATCCTCACAGAAACTGATGTATGATGTTACAGAATCTGTGAGTTCATCCAGATCGATGGCAGCAGCTTCAAAAACACTCTAATCAGTGCAGTCGAAGCAAGCTTGTAAATCCCGCTCTGATCCGTTAGTCCATCTTTTTACAGTCCTTATTACAGGTTTAGCTGATTTCAGTTTCTGCCTGTAGTTTGGTATAAGATGAAACAAACAGTGATCAGAGAGCCCCAAAGCTGCCCGTGGGACAGAGTGATATGTATCCTTTATTGTGTTGTAACAGTGATTCAGTATATTACTGTCTCTGGTAGTACAAGTAACGTGCTGTCTGTATTTTGGCAGTTCACATGTGAGGTTTGCTTTATTAAAGTCCCCGAGAATGATTATTGATTATTATAAATGATTAACAGAGTCATGGTGTTGTTGCTCTGTGTCTGCGATCTGATCAGCCAGCTGTTGTAGCGCCGCGCTTATGTGCGCTTGCGGTGGAATGTAAACACCTACAAGAATGAATGAGGAAAACTCCTTCAGTGAGTAGAAAGGCTTACAGTTGATGAAAAGCACTTCTAGATCAGGACAGCACATCTTCTTCAACGCTGTTACATCTGTACACCACCTATCGTTGATGTAGAAGCATGTCCCAGCGCCACGCGATTCGCCTGTTGATTCTGAGGTGCGATCCACTCTGAACAGCTGGAAGACTGGCAGTTGTAGTGCATTGTCCGGAATGCCTTCATTCAGCCAGGTTTCCGTAAAACACAAAGCAGCAGAGTTTGAAAAGTCCTTATGAGTAATCAAAGTAATCAAATCCTTATGACTAATCAGAGTAATCAAAAATCGGTAAAAGGTTGTGTGGTGTGTGCTGCCGAATACTCAGCAGTTCGTGCCTGGTAAAACTTATTGTGTTTGAAATACAACAGACAGGAAAAACAAACAAAACCATTAAAACAACTGGAGAGCTCCTCACCGAGGCAGCCATACTTGAAACAAACAATCTAATCTAATTTAATCTGCTGATTTGGCCTTGACAGCAGAGGCATAGTGTTGACTGAAATCTGTTGTTCTTTTTGAAGAATGGTAATGTAGATAACCCATACTGCAATGGGATGGAGGGCATCCTAGAGGCCTACCATGAGAGTCTGAAGACTGTCCAGCTCTACGGACCCACCAATTTTGCTCCTGTCATCAACCATGTAGCAAGGTACGAAAAATTCAACAGCACTCGCTGGCACAGCGAGCATGCTGGCACAGTTGAGAACGTATCCTGTGTAAAGAAGAAGAAAGACACAGTGCTGAGATAGATTTCTGGACTCAAATGAATAGAATATTGTCCTATTCAAATCTTTAAGTTAAAGTCTTTGTTCAGTTGAGCAAAAATTTTTACCATGACAGACTTTATTTTGAGTGGTGGCTTTACAGTTTTGGAAAAACAAAAGATCACATTTTAGCTGGTGTTTTAGGACTCATTGGCTTTTAGTTCATAGCCAGAAACTTAATTGATGGTCTTTTGGAGATGTAAAGGTCACATTTACTATTGTTTGGTAAATTTTCGAGGTCAAAATCTAGTCATTACAATAGGAATCTGCACAACCCGGAACTTCGCTTGAGGACAAAAGATTTTCCTACACCGATTTCACAATGTGTTCAAGTTGGTCACGCAAATTTGTCACTGTAATCAACAAAGTGTCACTCATGTGTACTTACATATAAGCTCACTGTTTAGGGTGCTGCTGCTGTTTGCATATTTTTTTAAACTGTCCCAGGTACTAAAAATATGAAAGCAAGTTTTGACCTTATAGTAAAAAATTAAGCTGTCAGATAAAAATTTAAATAAGAAATAAAACCATATTGTGACATAAAGTCGCAACTGTGCAAAATAGATACAATTGTGATACATAGTCATCAGGGGCGTCATGCACTCATTATTTTTGAGGGGGCACGAGTGGGGGGGGA